ATGAAGGTCCCTATGTTCTACTTTCAGAGAACTTCAGTGTCACTAGGCTTCTGAGGAGATAAGCAGGATAAAGAGTATGACCTCGAAGGTGCTATATTATGGGGTAGTATGTTCTGATTCCCAACAAAGACAGGGCTATGATGTGTAGAAGAATAAGGGGTTGAAATTGTGGGTGTGTGGGGTATCAGTCTTGGACATGTGGAGAGTTAGCAATTAGAAGCTTCTGCCAACAGTGAATCCAGCCAATTTTGAATACTGCAGTGTGTTCTGTTTGTTTTTGCATCACTGGGGATGAGCCTAGGGCATCTTGCATGTGCTAGGCAATTGCTATCCCACTGAGCTACACCCCCAGCCTACATGTAAATGTGTCTTTATTATTATCGTTATATCTTCGTGTGTTGTTTCTCCACCAGTACAGAATAGCTGGTGTATAGAAAGGAAGAAGAAAGGTGATTGGAAAGAACCAAACATGAAGTTTTGTAGAGTGGCTATAACAGAAGAAACTAAATGTAAAACATTTAAGATTTGGTGAGAGTCATTAGAGGGATTTAGCATGAAGTTTTTACAGAAGAAACAAAGCCTTGAATGTAATGAAGGATCAGAGGGAAAGGAGGAGCACTGAAGGTTTATAAGAAGTAGAAGAGCAGAGCAGTTGTTCTCAGAGTAAGGAAGCTTGAAGGAAAGGTGTAGCAAATCTGCAACATGGAATCTGCATACATCTTCCAGATCAATGATTACCAAACTGTTTTAGTTAGCCTTTCATTGCTGTTACCAAAAATATCTGACAAAACAATTTAGGGGAGAAAATGTTCCTTTTGGCACACAGTTTCAGAGGTTCAGTCAATGGTTGGACAACTCAACAACTCTAGGCGTCAGGTGAGGCATAACATCCTGGCAGCAGAAAATCAGCTCAGGACATGGAAACCAGGAAGAGAGAGAGCTCCACTCATCAAGGACAAATGTAAACCCCAAAATCATACTCCCAGTGACCTATCTCCTCCACACTGTACCTATGCAGTTGCCACACATATATCAATGGATTAATTTACCAATCAGGTTACAACTCTCACAACTTGATTGTTTCACCTCTGAACATTCTTAAATATCGTCTCACACATGAGCTTTTAAGAGGCCCCCTCATATCTAAACTATGACACAAACATTTTCTATAATGAGCCAGAGAGTAGTTATTTTCTGCTTTCCAGGTCAATATGGTTTCTGCTACAACTTCTCAACTCTTCTCTTAGATCATGAAGGCAGTCTTAGACATAAATTAAATGGGCATGGTTGTGTTCCAGTTATCTTTGTTTACAAAAACAGGTTGTTGGACTAGATTTTTTTCAAAGATTGTAATTTGCTGATTGCTGTCACAGATGATGACAATTTCCAGGATGTGGATGAAGATAGGCTGAGGTGAAGACTGTTAGAAACTAAGAGCTTAATGTCCCTTAAGGTTAAAATGTTGGCTGGGTATAGTGGTGCACTCCTATAATCCCAGCAACTTGGAAGGCTTAGGCAGGAGGATCACAAGTTCAAGACCAGCCTCAGCAATGTGGAGAGGCCCTTAGCAACTTAAGGATAACTTGTATCTAAAAGGGCTGGGGATGTAGATCCGTGGTAAAGCCCCTGGGTTCAAATCCCAAGGAAAAATAAAAAAGTAGGTAGGTAGGTAGATAGACAGTATATAGATACATACATACATATGAAAAACATTATGACCTAATAAACCTTTGTAGAACACTCCATCCAAGGACAACAGAATAAACATATCCTTCTTAAGTATGCAAGAAATATTCTCCAGGACAGACCATAATACTAAACCATAAGACAAGCCTTAGTAGAGGATTAAAATCACTCCAAGTATATTTTTTTCCATTTTTTTTATTGATTCTTCAAAACATTACAGAGCTCATGATATATCATCTTTCATACATTTGACTCAATTGGTTTACTCACATGGAGTGATATTAGTAACAGAAGGATTGTGGGGGCGTTCACAACTATGTGAAAACCAACACACTTCTAAATGGCCAACAAGTCAAAGAAGACACAAGAAATTAGAAAAAAATACTTTGAGATCAGTGAAAAGAACAACACAGAATATTAAATACAGGATGCAGCTAATCCAGGGCTTAAAGGGAAGTGTACAGTTTTAAATGCTGATATTGAAAGGAAAGAAAACTCTCCAATCCATGACTTAAACTTCTCCCTAAAGGGGAAAGGAGGAGCAAAAAATCACAAGCATCTGAGAGGGAATCAAATAGCTCAGATAGGGAAACTGGCCTTTGGTAAAAACAGCTTGCCATTGTAACTGGACATTAGGCTAGGAGGGTGGTTCCAGTGTTTCCATTGAGAAGATAATGAAGTTGCTTTCTGCTGCCTTTTACTTTCTCTGTAAAGCTGGACTTGAAGTCATCTGCAGAGTACAGGAAAATGGAGCATTGGAGGTCTGAGGATAGTGAAGGAGAGTTGAGATAATTTTCATGCACTGCACGGTGATTAAAATAGTCCTCTGTAAAAAACTGAGAAAACTACTAAAAGTTTCAAGTTTATTGAGGATGATTTTGAGTTTGATGATCATGAATTATAAAGTAATTGCTGTACTGATTTTGTAAGAGTCATCTTGCTAATTCTCTCTCTTACCTCAGTACTTGGAATGAACCCAGGGCTGCTCTACCACTTGGCTCCATTCCTAGTCCTTTGTTTTCTTTCTTTTCTTTTCTTTCTTTCTTTTTTTTTTTTTTTTTTGGAGGCAGGGCCTCACTGAGTTGCTCAGATGGCCTCAAATTAAGCCTCCCAAGTCACTGGGATGACAGGCAGATGATTCCACCTCCCCACACATGGAGGGAGGGAGGACACTATTGTTCTGCCCTGTAGTGTGATCCCTGTGGGTAAAGGCATAGAAAAGGCAAATGTTTGTATTCGGGTAGGGCTACAGTTTTGTTATATGGGTGGGATGAAATAATAGAAGAGCACAGAAGTTTAGGATATTTAAATGATAGGTCATGGCAATAAACTGGATAAGAAAAAAAAAACTACAGAAAAGGAGGAAAACAACAAATGAATATAGAGGGGTCAGTTAACTAGCAGTCACCAGAAAGTCTAAAATCCAAATCAGCTCTGCAATGGTAAGGAACCTTTGTTCTTCTTCATATCTCTGTGCTAGCACCTGCAATAGGTGATAATTTAATAAACAAGCAGAAAAATGTGAAATTTTAGTCAGATATGGATTAGTGATAACAGGAGGTTATTCATTCTGCATAATATGTGCCTTGATATGTACATACAGTATGTTCCCACTAATAATTAGCCTTATTATTCTTTTTTGGACTTTTATAGGAACTATTTATTTTCACAGAAATATAGAGCCATTTTTCTGCAAATGCATGAGTTGACCTTTTCTGAGTGAATATCCTTTGAGGTCGTTGCACAATTAGGGTTGTTAGATTTGACCTAATATGGGAAAACTACACAGACAAAGCACTAGTAGAAATTATCTTCCTTTCTCTCAAAGCCAAAGTCTAACGACACTGATTTCTGATGCCTTCAGTTGTTTTATTGTGCTTATCACCTGTGTAGACAGTTTTATATTTACATTGCTGAATCAACTCTCTAAAGTATATTGACCTTTCAGTAGGTTTTAAAAGGCTTCTCTTTTGCTTTTTTTCTAGGACTGAAGTGTCATTCAAAAATAGAGATGATTGTTTACCAAAGCAAAAGGTTACATAAGACTGCTAAAATGATAATAAATCTAGTTTTTAAGCCATGCCAGTGTTTTTAAATGAATTAATTGAATCAAAGAGTTATTTCAATTTTGGGGATTGAGAAATACTGTCCTTCATATCGCTTTTAGATGACTTGCATGTCTTTCAGATATGTTTTCTTCTCATGCCCCATAGTAAAAGTACTTATAGAAAGTAGGTATTCATTAATTCTATACTGTTGATCTTTAATAATAAAATAAGCCATTCTCTGAAATGTGTTTCCCTCTACCTCTTTGCCTGGTAAATTGCTTTTATAATTTACTTCAGATATCACCTCTGAAATTATTCCTAGCTCTTACAGGCCAAATGAATAGGCCTTTGTCCTTTGAGTAGCTTACACCTATTTTCTGTTGTGTGTTCATTATGTATTATACATCTCTTTCTCATTCTTGCCTTTTGTCTATCAAGGAGCAGGGACTCTGGCTTATGCATCTTTAGTGTCTCCAGTGTTTTGCAATGAAGTGTCCTAAAACCGATAGCAAGAAAACTTGTTTTAAAGCTCACTGTAGGCCTAGATTGTGAAACTCTACCCACTTTAAAATTTCCCTGCAGCTAGGATACCACTGCCAGGTGAGCAATGATTAACTGAATATGGCCTCATGATCCAGCCAGTAGAAGTGATTAACTCATAGAAAGATTAGCCTTTTTTCCTGTACCTATTTTTTTTTTAATTGAGAATAATACTTAGTCAACACTCTATGTGTTTGTTAAAACTAAAACTGTCAATCAAGATATTAACAGTGGCCATATTTGGGGATATTTCAATTTAACTTTTTTCATTAGGTATCCATTTTGTCTTTGTTTGACAAAATGTTTGTTTCAGGTCATACTTTGGGGAAAAAACTATTTCCAGTTTTTTAAATTATAGTACATGTGGAAACATTGATGAGAAAAAATACTTTAGGACAATTTGGAACCAATCAGAGCTGAATCAAGATGAACCAGTCTGTGGTTGAGGAAAGCAAGTTTATTTGCTTCAGGTTAACTGGGACTCTTCTCTATCCAAGCCTCCTCCTTCTCATAGTGGTTTCCAAAGTTGCTCTAGCCAGGATAGGGTAAAACAGAATTGACCAGCCACCTGGCTCAGCACATGTCACTTGCCTTGGCCAAAACCAGTCTCAAGACCAAATCCTACAGAAAAATAGAATCGAAAATACAGAAAAGCACCTGGAATCTGGTATATGGTAAATACCAGTTGTCTCTGCCAACATGACCATAATTCTTTTTATTTTTTAGTTACTGTAACGAATGCATGTTGGATCCAGACTGTGGTTTCTGCTACAAGATGAACAAATCAGCTGTCATTGACTCTTCTTGTGTGCCCGTTAATAAAGCATCCACAAATGAGGCAGCCTGGGGCAGGTATGTTACTCATTACTAAACAAAAATGTCTAATACAATTTAAATATGAGTCTGATTTCTAATTTTTCAGGGTGTCTTGCACTAGTTCTTTTTAAGCTACATGTACTGGTGATGGGTGCAAAGTGTTGCACCTGTGTAGTTCATACTCTCAGAGAAGAAAGCACTCAGGGCCAGAATTTGGAGGCCTGAAGTCCAGACTCAACTCTGCCTAATAAACCACAGGAATTGGGATCTTTCGTTTAAGGCAAATATTCACAAATATTGCCAAGGCAGTTTTGCCACTATGTATTATATACCTATGCTGTAAAATTCCAAACTAGAATTTCTTGAACTTAATGGTAATTGTAAGGTCAAAATGAATTAATGTCACTTTACATTCTTTCATGGAACTAATTTTTTCTAGAGTACTTTCCTAGGATTCAATGAAACTAAGCAAAATAAGGATAAAATTTGGAAATCATTGGTGTGCAGCCTGTCTGGTAGCCTGTATCTCTTTCTAACAGAACATACTAGTTTATAGGAGAGACATAAATGAAATCTTTATATAGAATAAATCCTTCCTACATTTATGAACTAATATCCATATTCTTAGACACATAAAATGTGTTAATGTACAAATGATATGGCTTTTAACTCTTCTGTGGTTTAAATTTTCATTAAAAGGAGTAATATGCTCTCATCCTGTCTACCTCATAGTACCTATCATAAAGGCAATTAAATCTTTAAAGTACTTGTATTGCCTATGAACTATAAAATATAATGTATTAGTATTAATCGTTATGCTGTTACCATTAATCATTTTATTAGGGAATTACTCCAAAGAAGTAAACTTTATGGTAGTTGAGGGAAAGTCCAGACTGAGTTTTAAATATGATAACAACAAAGAAACATGTAAAAGAAATGCAGTTGTTATTTTAAATGAACCCTTAAAAGAACTGTGAGTATATGTAACTAGTTTATAGCTTTAAACCCCTAGCTTTTGGTTTTGATTTTTCCAGGAGGGAAAGTTACTAGTCTAGAATCATGAACATGTGATGAAGTCTGTTTAGCAATAATAAATGAATATGGTTTCCCATATTTCACAGAATTAATCTGTAAGCTTATTAGAAATGTCTACTAATAAATAATAAAAGATACTAAAATTAGATGTATTTCTCACCCTCAGTAGGTTTAGAAGTCAGAAGCTTCAAAACTGGAGTTTTATTCTTATGTTTTGCAAATAAATTGTATAGTATTTTAGTGGAAATGTATATTAGTGGTTTTATTTTGTGAAGAATAATTTAGAAAGTTATTCTTACATTTTATTTATATTTTTGTATCATTATCCTATGACTACATACACTATTAGAGAAAGATGAGGCACAGAAAATAAATAAAACTAACATAAGAAAATACTTAAGAATTTCTATGTTTATAGCATATTGTTAGAATAATCTCAAAGTATTTAGAATAAAGAAAAATAAAATCATGAAGTTTTTCTTACTCTTTCTTCCCTCTGCTGGGAAACAGCCTTTATCTTAACTTGACCACTGCTGTTGGTTACATCAGTCTTTGCTAAAAAGAGATCAAAAACGGCAGGATGCAGTCACTGTGAAAATTCTTAGAACAAGTTTTCCATTTGTAAGACATACACCATCAGGTAAACAAGAGAAAGCTGCACATGTGAAAGATGGCCAAATGAATACCTACATTACAAAACACCCCAGTTTTTGAAAGAGAATTTGAAATAATATTTAAAAGAAATAAGGGATATGATACACTTTTGTGAAATTATGCTGAAAGCTATATGCTATAATATATACACTGTGTACGTATATATGTGTATATATATATATATATATATAATGTGTTATCAGTAAATTTTGAAAAAAACTAAAACCTACAAACCTACAGTTCAAGATACATAGTAGTATAGAATGTGGTACGGGAACTTAACATTTAAGTTATGAACTATTAAAAGGAGAGACAATAAAATCAAACTAATATACAGAGGAAAGACACACACACACACACACACACACACACACACACATAGAACGATGGTTAAGGGAAATCACAGACAATCCAATAGAACTGAATATAAACCTAACTCACTACAATAAAAATACAAACAAATAAAGCACCCTAATAAAGGCAAACATCCTCATACTGAGTTGTTTTATTTTTTTAAAGACAGCTATTCACTATATTAACAAGAGATCACAAAAGGGATGGAAACACAATGAAAACAAATAAGTACTAAGTCAAAAAGAAAAAAAGTAGCAGAAGTCAAAGAACTTTGGAAATTTAAAAGCTTTATGTAAGATTTTGTGCACTTAACAAGTAGAGTACTTCATTCTTTTCAAGCAAATCTAGAACACTTATGAAAATTTTCATGTTCAAGCACAAAAAATAAAATTAATAAATTTATATAAATGCATCTATTCCAGAAGATTCTAAATATATTCAAATAACCAATACCATGTAGAATACATTTTCTAATCAAAATGCAATATGTTTGCCAAACAATAACACAATAGTTATCACCTCTTCTACTTCAGCTTGGAAACTAAATACAAAATCTAAACTTCAAATTAATTAGTGAATTAAGAAGACAGCTGAGGCTGTAGTTCAGTGGTACAGCACTTGCCTAGCATGTGTGAGGCACTGGGTTCGATTCTCAGCACCACATATAACTAAATGAATAAAATAAAGGTCTACACATCTAAAAAAATTTTAAAAAAAAGAAATCAGCACAATGGAAAACAAAATTCAAAATCAATAGTTAAACAGATCCATAAGAAATTAGAACTAGAATAAAAAGCAAACCTGCCTAGAAAACAGAGGATAGAAATTAGAAAGATAAGTGAAGGGTGAAATAAAGCAAAGAAGTACCAGAGAGGATCAGAAATAAAGATTATTGATTTTAGAGAATAATAAAATGAAGAAACCTCTGGCAATACTGATCAAGCAGGAAAAAATGCACAAACAATAGTTGGTGGGGGGAGGCATAGAAGAGATAGCAAAGATTGTTCAAATCTTAAGAGAATTCCATGAATAATATTCTCCAGTTCATTTGAAAGCAGATAAAATTTTAGTCTTCTTCAAAACTTGTAACCTAGAACCAACTACCAACTCAAAACCTCTTGAAGTATCTTATTTATTCCCATTTCACAGGTAAGGATGGCCTAGAGGATCTGAATGACTTTCTAAAAGTCAAGAGGCCCGTAGTCCACCTTATTTGGGGGCAGCATCAGTTAAGTAATAGAAAAACATACTTTTAGAATGAAGTCATTATAAATTTGGGCTTTCATTATTTACCTCATAGTTTGGTCCTGGGACAGACTGGGTCTCTCTGAGCCACATTCTTCATCGGTAAAATGGAAACAATATAATTTCTGTGCTGAACAATATGGTTATTAGGAAGATCAAATAAGAGCTTATCTGAAGATATTGTGAAAACAATACTTTATAAAAATATCTTGTATCAATTTTTCTTTCTCAGTAATGTGCTTTCTTGTCAGTAACAGTTTTTGCATTACAATAAGCATTTCCTAATAGATAAATGCCTTAGGATACTTTTTATGTGTTTGTGTCTATTCATCCACCTCCATACCTCCTGGCTCTCTATATACACCATAAATAATCTATTTTGGAACTTTAAACCTGCTGACTAAAAATATCACTAATGAGGGATATTTCTTAATGTGCTTACTCAGTATTTGTTTTCTCTAATACAGCATTTTTGCTTTGTAATTAGAAACACTAAAATAGCTAGATAGATTCCCTATTTGGCAATCCATTGTTCATCGCATTCATTCAGCAAAGATGGTTTTCTCAGAGCCGTGCTGTGCCACAACACTCAGTCTGTTTTCTCTGCATCTGACCATTTATACTCCTGCACAGAATTCTAGTCAAGGTAAACCCCTTGCCATCTCCCAATGTCCACTATGACTTCCTGCCTCTTATATCTTTCCTCATTCTGTGCATTCTGCCTAGGATTAACCACCCTCTTTTCTTCTTTTTGATCTCTGCTTGACTTATAATCATCATTTTTTTCCCAGAGCAGATGTTGCTTTTTCCTTGCAGTCTCTGATTAGTCCCAGAAAACAATGCTTATTACATCCCCTCCTGTCCTCTGGCAAGAACATTGTAGTAAACTACAAGAGATATGTCGTAGCTACGAGAGTAATGATAGCCATGAGGCCTGCTCAAGCGTCACCCAGGGCCAACAACACACGATACTTGACAGTATGATATAACCTTGTCCGGGGATTGCCCGGAAACAAGGATGCCTCTGTGCACATGCAGCTCTTTAAACATCTTAGAGCAAAGCTCACCTTGACAACAATAGTTTAACCTCCCTTGATGAAACCTGGAAACCAACCCATTACTGAATATTGGTATAAGGGAAAAGAATCCCCAACCTTTGAGAATGGTCTCTAAATGGAGATCCCCCACACAGGTGGTCATCTGACCCCTGGTTGGTTGTGACCTGTGCCATCAGCCAGCTCTGGTGTCTGACTTGTCACAGCACTGCCAGAACAGCCATGTCTGGGACTCATCTTTCATAGGAGTCAGACAGAAAGGGAGAAATTGCCCATGAGGAAGCTGGTTAACTAGGACCACTCAGAACCCCAAACAAGGTATTTATATAACTTGTATGATAATTATACTGGCTAATATGTATCTTCTTGCCTAAGATAGAAATTCTAATAACTGTGCCCTGCAGTGTTTTTAAATCCTGGGTAATTTGTATATATCAATAATTTTAAAATTTTGAAGGTTTGAAATTAGCCATAGTTCCAAATGAGAGGATATTATACTCTAATCATTTCATTTGAGTTACCTCTTCTACATTCATACTTATTTTTAGGAAATGAAACATGTAAAAGAAAAAATGAGAGTAATAGAATTTTAATTAACATAGAGTGTCTTGCTTACCTAAGACCGTTTTAGATTTTAATTTTTTAAATTTTAATTAATTAATTTATTTATTTATTATTTTTTTATTTTTTATT